TCAGTGCATAGCTGGCCAAATAATTTTCTCTCTATGATTTTGGGTTTGTTGTTGTTGCTGCTGCTGCTGTTGCGTGTGCTTTCACTCACATTTGCTTTCCAAGAGAACGTCTCTTGATTCAACTCATCCACCCAAAGAAAAAGAAAAAAATGAAATTGCTGTTCTCTTCTCGTCCTCCTACTAAGACTGAAGCTCACAATAGTATGAGCATTGAAATATGGAAATATTTTGATTTAAGATAAATATCTGGCCAAGTCCTTGAGATACAATACCAGAAAACAGGTGCTTTGGATGGAGCACAGTTGCTGCCCATGTCATAATGTGTGAGATTGCACCATCAATAACAGCTATCCCATATCATTGCACTGGTTGCACCATTGTCAGATCGATAGTGGCAATGTCCCTAAAGCTACTATGCAGCATAGATCTGAGTGAGGGTTTGGGAACCTTTTTATCCCAAGGGCTGGATTGCATCATAGGCAGCCTTCTGGACATGGTGGGTAGGATGAGAGTAAAAAATGGCCAGGGAAATAAATGTGACTCTTACCTTTTATATGATAGACAACATTCCAGCCAGAGACATATTGGAAGGACACTTACCCACAACATGATTACTGAGTGTAAACTGAATTTATGGGAGCACAAACCACTACATAGTCTCCAACTATGATATTTATTTATTTTAAAAAATTGTCCAGTAGCACCTTAGAGACCAACTAAGTTTGTTCTTGGTATAAGCTTTCGTGTGCATGCACACTTCTTCTTCTCAGAAGTGTGAGATTCAGACTCCCTCATAGTATCTCACACCCACAGATTTGCAGGAAATTTCCACAAATACATCTCTAACTTCTTCTCTCTCCCTAGGAATTTCATTAGCACATGATGCTAGAGAAGGTAAGGTAATTGCCCAGGATGCTACTTCTCTTCAGCTCCCCAAAATTAATTTCAGGCGATGGAGGCCCTGGTCAATAAACCTCTCTCCTTGTCTGAATTATTGGTGCAAAGGATAGTGGGGAACCTGCAGAGGAACGGGCTCTTAGAGGGAAAAGTGCCATGTCACACAAATCAAAGACATCTATGTGTGTATCTGAAGAAGTGTGCATGCACACGAAAGCTTATACCAAGAACAAATTTAGTTGGTCTCTAAGATGCTACTGGACATTTTTAAATATTTTTTTATATATTTCGACTGCATCAGACCAACACGGCTACCTATCTGAATCTACGATATTTATTGCACTGGACAATTACAAGGGGTAGAATTCAATGTTGTGTGAAGACAGACGTTCCATCTGTGCAAGTCTATTAGCTTGACAGACAGAACGATCCCCTCCCACAGTGTGCTGTTCTGAGGGTTCTCCTAACCCCCCAGAACCAATTTTTGGGGGTGCAGGGGGGTGAGAGGTGAGAAACTCCAGTCGCACAAGTGGAAGCCTTGCCCAGATTTTCCACTGACAGGATTCATTCAGTGAATCCTGCCACACACTGTATATCCAGGGTGCTTACCTGGACACTCTGGAGCAAGTGATAAACGTGCAAATTCAATCTTTTTTGGTCCAACTATTCTGTGTGTTCTGAATAGCATAGATATTTTATGACATCAGGAAGAAAGTATGTGTGTGTAGCATTCACTGGAGTATTTGGCTCTTCCATTATGGATGCCAGGGGCACTTATTTATATGGTAGTTTTCAAGCACCACTGAAGCAGCAAAGTTTGCTTATCTAGATATAGATATACATAAAGCATACCAGCACACCAGGGAGGAAAGGCTACACCTAGACAAGAGATTCCAACTCCTAATGAAGAAGTCCTGTTTGCCTGCCAGAAACAACAGACAAATGACAAAGCAATTTCCACACTTCTTAATGAGATCCCAAGATAGTTTAGCTGAATTCCAAACTGTCAAATAGATGAATTTAAACTCGGGGAGCTTTGCCCTAACCTTAGAACTGGCTTTTGTTGTTTTTTTCCTCACATGAACAGCACACAGGAAGCTGGACAGCAGTGGAATAATGCATGTTTCACACACCTTGGAGCATCGAGATTAGTTAACAAGAGTTCAAGCATTGATTAACAATATCACAATGAATAACAAAGGAGCAAAGAGTGAATTGTCACTTCAGAAATGCAGCTACAATTGCTTTAGAGAGTGTACATTATTAAAACCATTATTTTTTCCATAGGAAATATTGTGCACCAGGTTCAACTTATTTTCATCGGACTGTAACCTGTACACACATTTTTTTATTTTTATTTTGTCACCTAGAAGAATGTGAAATGTCTGGTGATAATAAGACAGTAAGACTCTGGCTGAAGGCAAATCAAAGGAAGGGGCAGATGTTCAGATAAATCTGACTTCTCCACTTTCTATTTCTGAAGCAAATTCCCAATGTGGCTGCTCCTCATAAGAACCTAAGAAGAGCCTGCAGGATCAGGCCAAAGGCCCATCTAGTCCAACATCCTAGACAGGGGAGAAATTCAATTCAGTATGCATTTGCCCAGGCAGGTACATTATGTGACTCATGAGAGCAGCAAAATAACCAGACTGTACAAAATCAGGGCAAATCTTTATTGACAGCAGCAGGCGGGGCAGGGTTGGCTTGGGCCAGATCATCATTCCACAAGCCCCATGTTGATGGAATGAGTCCACTGGGTTTGGACTGCCCCAAACCAATTCCACGGCAGATAGCCAGTATTGAACCTTGCTGTGGTGCAAGCCAAGCAAGCAAGGTCTCCCTGGGCAACCAGGGTACAGATTCCAAGCAGGCAGGTATCTCATCAGTGACCCAAAATAGCTCAGTGAAGGCTCTAACTTGAAGGTGGGGTATCTGCAGGTGGGTGGCCAGACAGAGGCGGAGGAAGTGGGTGTGGTGGGTGCGGGCTGCCCCGGGTGTCACAACTGAGGGGGGTGAATCTCCTGGTAGAGGTTCAGTATTTTGCAGCAATCTATGGGCCACAGCTCATCTCACACTTACTGGGCATGGGACAAGGCTTAAAGCCAAATGTATCAAATGCAGTGGTACCTCAGATTAAGAACTTAATTCGTTCTGAAGGTCCGTTCTTAACCTGAAACTGTTCTTAACTTGAGCTACCACTTTAGCTAATGGGGCCTCCTGCTGCTGCTGCACCGCCGCCACGCGATTTCTGTTCTCATCCTGAAGCAAAGTTCTTAACCCAAGGTACTATTTCTGGGTTAGCAGAGTCTGTAAGCTGAAGTGTCTGTAACCTGAAGCGTCTGTAACCTGAGGTACCGCTATACACACTTTCTGAAACAATGTGTGAATTGAAACACAGCTATCCTCGGAAATTCTGAATTTTGTGAGGTAGTTATCCAGCAAACAATGTTTGTAATAATGCATATATATGGGGCAAGTGTGCATAGGAATGAGGGTTCTTGTGAAACCAACATACAAAATGCATTCTATTAGGGAAATTGCTGTGTTTTAACGAGAAATGTGAACTAAAATGGTGATGAATTTTCATGAATATTTTTTTAAAAAATTCCAATTGCTGCAAAATGTGGAGAACTGATTGGAAAAATGAGAAACAGAAAACTGAAATTGACAGAAGATTCCATCCCTACCTGCAAAAGTTTTCTTTAAAAAAAAAATCACAGCTACTGCTAAGTATCTAATGTCTTACTGCTCTACATACATCGGCAAAGGTTGGGTCTACTTCACCCTCTTTCTCAAACTTCCTTCACATATGTAGGGTTCAGCTGAAAATGAAGAGGCGTGAGGTGAACAAATTGGAATTATGTGCTTCAATGAAAATAGTTCCTTTGTGAGCCATTATAAACTGAACCAAATTGGAATGGCTGGCCAGGTGACCAAATCTGCCTAGGAGCGTGTTTGAGTCTTCACAAATTGGTCTCTCATTTAAGAACAGAACAGTCTTGTGAGTTCTTCATGTGAGCATTAAGCATATCATTGATGTGCCTGGGGAACTAGCTCACAAGAATCCGACTTAAAGATGTTGTTTAAGCATGTAGCTGCATGTTCTGTAAATAGTGTTTATAACATTCACACCGACTCTTCCATTGTTGGCCTCTTTGTGACAGAAAACAGTCGTCAATGTGAGAGGTACATACCCTCCAACATTTGCCTGATGAAAATAGGGACATACTATTCCATAAGCGTAATCTTGATTTTATTATTTATGCCCCATCCATCTGACTGGGTTGCCCCAGCCACTCTGGGCGGCTTCTAACATATATAAAAATATAACAAAACTTTAAACATTAAAAAAACCCTCCCTATACAGGGCTGTCTTCAGATGTTTTCTAAAGGTTGTATAGTTACTTATCTCCTTGGCTTGGGGGTCGCATAACTCCATACCCTCCAACATTTCTCTGATGAAAATAGGGGTGAGCTCTGTAAAATTGGGATGGACTCTGTAAATCTGGGATTGTCCCTGGAAAATAGAGGCACTTGGGGGGTCTGGAACTATGTTCACCACATGAATGAGGCACTGTCATGTGAACCACCAAGTAGATAAACAAAGGTTTTAGCTAGCAACACTTTCCTTAAACCAGCCCAGTCATATCAAAATTCCTTCATGCCAAGGCTCTTCCTGTGACATTTTATTGAATTTTTTTAAATAAGAGTACTTTTATACTGCTATATCTTAAAATATGCAACATTAAAACACAAAACACTGTTAAAAGCAATGCAGATAACCATGATAGTGTCTGGCTGATAAAAAAAAAAAAGGACAGCTGCCAAGACCCATTGGCTTAGAAAGAAGTTTTCAAGAGATGAAACTTCAACATACAAGCTTCCAGTGTTTGGAGGCAGCAGCCACCAATGGGAGAACACATTGTTCCTGCTAGCTGACTGCTTCAAAGCCTAAACACTATTACCTGAAGAAAGTCTAATATCATGCTTCCAAGTGAGCAGTTCTGAGTCCTCCATGTTACTAAATGGATTCATTGGTTTATGTGAAGAATTTATACATTGCCCAGCATTCAAGAAAAGAAATAAATATCATGCTTTGGGGAAGGGTCATAGCTCAGTGACAGAGCATCGGCTCTGCATGCCGGATCAATCCCAGGATCAATCCCTGATGTCTCCATGAATATTTGGAAAAGATGCCTTTTCTGAAACTTTATTATTATTATTATTATTATTATTATTATTATTATTATTTACATTTGTATACCACCATATACCCACAGATCTCAGGGCATGCAATCACAATATAAAAACACAAAATACATAATAAAAATAAAAACAGAAGCAAACCAATAAACCCTACAACTTAAGTAGTTGATCTGATGGTCTGACTCAGTATAAGGCAGCATCCTATATTCTGAAAAACAAAGTTAAAAGAATAAAAATCCATTAAATCCATCTTCAAGACAGCTTAGTTCTGAAGTCTAAGGCAGCGGACATGCTATACCTTTCAAGCACATCATTTTACTCAAAGAATTCTGGGCACTGTGGTTTGCCAAGGGTGCCTGGAAATTGTAGCTCTCTGAGAGGCAAACAGCAGTGCCCAGAATTTGCTAAGAGAAGGAATGAGCTTTGAATGTGCTTTGAAGGTATATGAATGCAGCCTATGCAGCCTTATGGACAAGTGTTCCAATTTATGATTTCTAATCACATTCTAAATATGAAAACAGGAATAAATTAATTTAGGGAATATTGCCTTGTTGGGAAGCAAGTGGGGTGGGGTGGGGAATAAGACACACACAGAGAGAGAGAGAGAGAGAGAGATTGAGAGATCCTATACTTTTTGTCCATTTCTTGTTTGCTGTGAAACAGCCTGTTCTTTTCATGACTCTGTTGCATACCCTTGGCGGATTATGCTAGACCTCACAGAAGGAATTTGTTAAAAGGGGTCTGTGAATGATGAATGGGATGTTGCCTGGTGGAGAAGACGTGGGAGACTGTTCCAGAGGCCAGCCGGTGGGTTTTAAAAATATTTAGATACTGTCATTCAAGATTCCCACAAGTGCAAACGTATGAAAGTCCAATTTGCTTGTGATTTGTAGGGGGAGGTTGAGAAAGCTCAGGAGCTTTGCGAGGAGTTCCATTTGCTCTGTATTATATTCTTCAAACACAATACTGTTACTATGTAAGCCATGTGTGATGTGATGTGATGTGTGGAATACTTCATGAATAAAAGGAATGTTTTGACATCAGGCCCTCTTAGGCCCTTTGGCTTCAAATGAGATATAATCATCACTCTGAAAATTGCAAGCAGATCTCTCCTCTGAAGAGCAACAGTCACTCTCTTTCCCTCTCAACAAATTACACAATCAATGATATGGTGCAGGACAAGTGACAAAAGAGATGTAAAGATTCAAAAATCTTAAAATACATGTGTTTTCAAGAAGGAGGGGGACATCCTTGCATTAATTAGCTAGCATGCTTTTAATAAATAAACAAACAAACAAGTGCCCATAACATTTTAAACAGACCTCCTGTTGCAATTTATTTTTGTATCTTCTAAATGTACATGGCAGTGCTTAGAGCTATTCAGTTTGTGAAGAACAAGCTGTGATGGCGTGAAAAAATTCTCATAAACTCTCTTGTCTGGAGGTCTTCAGATCTGTGCCATAAATAGCCTGGCAGTTCTCGTTGAGGCTGCCAAAACAAAATGGGGTGTATCCAAAACAAATACTTGTGTTTTACTGACAGGGATTCAATCATACGAGACGGGTGGGTGCGTGGGTTACTCCTGAACATTTTTAATTTTGCAAACTGATGCACTTCAGAAGATAGCCAAAAAAAGAAAAGAAAAGAAAAGAAAAGAAAGTGGAGACCTTTTAAATAGCTTTTAAAGATTGATTTTGAAAGTGGGAAATGTAAAGCCGTCATCCTGACTTACAAGGGGAGATTTTACAAAACATTCAACGACATAAAAATGAAAATGCTCTCTAGTCTGCGCAGCACATTAAGGGGAGCTGGTGCTGCAGTATTCAAGATAATAGCATATCTGATAACATATTACAGGAGAGTGCAAAAACCTGACACACACACACAACCTCTCTCATGTAGAGGTCTTCAAATCTAAGCTATGAATAGGTTGGCACATTCCAATTTCTGCCCAGTACTCAAGTTCTTCAGGAGACAAAGAGTGGAACAGATGCATGAATCTGTGATCACTGCTAATAATGCTTAATGTGCTCACAGAACACACTGTTACCAGGGTGATTTATATAATCCAAACAGGGAAGGGTGGGGAACAAGGAGCAGCTGCACATTTAAGAAAACAGGAGAGTCATGTGGCAATATCATACATGCCATTATGTAATTGCATCTATTCAAAAAGTGCGTGAGACAATTGGCACTCAATTTCCTTATCAAGGTGCCATTCCTACAGACTTTTAGGATATTATTTACATGTTCAAAATATTTGCTGCATCTACAAACATGCTATAACATGCTGATTATTCAGATCCAACAATATACTTTGGAAAAACACAACCTTAGACGTGTGCATTGACTCTGTTCCCATTTGTTTTTACAGGTGTACGTCCTACGGAGTTCTCAGTAGGCAAGCACACAACTGCAGCCGTAGACCTTTTGAATTGGCCCACTCACATGCTAAGTTCTAGTTATCTGCTGCCTAAGTTCTTCTGTGCTGCTTTTCATATGTTATAGTTTAGGGTTATATTTAAATATTTTCAGTATAAGTGACCCAGAGAACTCTGGTTATGGAGCAGTTTAGAACTGTAAATAAACAATCAAATAGATAAAAAACATTATTTTATAGAAATATGCTAGTTTTACATTTCCTCATTTCCTGAAGTTTTACTCAATTTACCTTCTCCTCCTAGACTCCTCCTACTGACCTTCGGCTCTTTCCAGCATTTCTCCATATGTCTCCAACCTTCCTCTCCTAGTCCTCAATTGTTTCCAATTGCACTCATCACCTCCATTCCCCTGCTCTTGGAAATGGCTTGCTTTAAAAAAGAAAAAGAAAGGAAGTCCAGAATTGTTGGGGGAGTGCCAAAGGTGCTGCAGTTGCTCTTGAGGTCCAGCCATTGCCCCACCTGGCTGTTTGTTGCCGCCCTATTGCATTCTGTCTTTGTACTTTATTAGTACTGAGCAGATGAAATAATATCTCCAGATACCCATAACAGGGATGCATCTAACTTTGTTTCTGAGGCATTGATGTGCTCAGGGTGACATGGACTTGTAGAAGCATTTGTCCAAATGCTGAAGAGAATAACACTCTCTAATGCAGGATGGCAGAAAATCAGTTGAAGTTGGTGGACCATTCAGAATAGTGGGATGGACATGATTGGCAGCAATGTCATAGGCTTTGGACTCCACTATATAATACATACCCTCTAACAATCCTCATATGAAAACCAAGACATTTTGATCTGAGGAATGCAAGGTGTTTCTGACTGGTGAAAAAGTGGGGTTTTTTGAGTATTCTATACATGCTCAGAAGCACTACTGCCACCTCTTCATTACTTTGCACATTACCAGGTAGGATCCTAGCACTGGGCACCACTCCTCCTTCCTTTCCTCCCACCTTCTCCCCCATCCTACTAGCCACTCAAATCTCCACCTCTGCCAGCTCCAAACTGTACCACGGCCCTTTTAAACCCACACCTCTTCTCTCTCTCTTTCTCCTTCTGGTTCCCAGTAATGTCTTGGCAAATGGCATCATCAAGCTGTGCCACCAAGCCTGGAGCCAACTGCCATTTTGTATGGGGCAAAGAGGCAGGATCTGTTGCCAGGGTGGCACTGCAAAGGGAGACAAAGCCTCAAAATCGGGACACCTCCATTTCAAGTCAGAAACTGTGATGGCGTTACCAATTCCAGGTCCTCTGGTACTCGAGGTGTATGGTAGTAGGTGCCAAATTGTACACAATAGTTGCCCTATTGGACAGAAAATCTTCATCCTCTGAAGTTAGCTTTCTGAATACTCAATAACAGTGGTTGACCAAAAGTAGAAGTGTTTGCTGAGGTGATGATATCTGGGCAACTTAGTGATGGTTGAAGGGTCTGCTGTAATAAAGGAATAAAAGCCGAAAGGATCCTGAGAGGCTGAAGAGGGCATACAAAATTGAAAAAAAGTCTAGAACTGTATTTGGTTTCCTGCATACTCCTAAAGCTGTCTGCCGCACCTGATGTACCAGTAAAAGTTGGGGCCTTTAAACAATACTTTATTCTGACCTCTGAAGGAGAATAGCGTTGCTGCATGAGCAGGCCTCTTGAGTCCCATTTTCTGACTAATGCATTCACAAATCTATTCAATTTATAACAAAGAGGGAAGAATAAACAATTAGGCCTTACATTTAGCAATACTGTTACACACCTGGCAACAATTAAACACTTTAATTAAAAGTCATAGAACAGAGTATGCCTGTATAACCTTTTCAGAAGTCACTCCGTCGTGTGCATGGCAAAACTTTTTCTATTAAACTGTTGAACACCAGCATTTACAGCATTTCTTCATAGACAACAGAACTAATGGACTGGGGATGAAAGGGATAATGCAAACTTGTTTAACAGCCAGGCTTTAATTTTCTCAAAGAAAAGCCAATTAATTACATCATTATGGATTGAGAAGCCAAAGTCTGCCGGGTCTATACGAGACCTCATATGGATTCACACAACCATTTATTTTTGTAGTGAAAGAAAACTTCAACAGCCGTCACCTGCTGACATTCATGGGACAGAACTGTCTGCAAGGTTTTGCCATAAATCATATTTTTTATAATTTGCTTGGTGATCACTCCCACAAAGTATTTAAAGCATTAAACAAGGATGACTAACCTATGGCCCTTCAGATGTTGGATTCCATTCTCCATTCAGCAAGGCTATTGAGCAGAGCTGATGGGAGTTGTAGTTTAGCAACATCTGGAGGGTCATAAGGTTCCCGCCCCTACATTTGAGCCTTGGAGATCTTTTCAATATTTTTGTGCATGCGTACTTTTTAAAAAAATGCTATCCATCACTATTGTGGGCTGGATTGGCTCTAGGTATGTGGGTTCAAATCTCCATTTTATAATACCTTATGACCTGCATTTCTGCAGTTTTATTTACTTTTTGTGATTTCATATTGATTTTTTAAAAAGAATTTTGTACTCGTTACTTTTGGTGCAT